TGGATGGAAGCCTTTTATTTTTTTCACGTAGCAAATCTCTTTTTCTTTGATATGGCTATTAAGATTGGGCACTGATCAAACTGCCCATCAGAGTGTGCGTGTATGTGTCTGTGTCAGATGGACTGGGATTGAAACACCTGACCCTTCTCTATTAAAATCGTGATGTTGCAAATGTCTTTTCTATAATGGGACAAAAAGAAAAACAGAGAACATACAATAATAGTGATTCATCTGTTCAGTCATTTGATGTGTTTCTCTATTGTTGCAGTTCCTGAGACTCAGCTTTATCCTGTATGTGAGCTCTGATTTTAACGATACGGGCATGCTATTGAAATGAGTAAATACAATTTCTGAATCTCTTGTCTACTGACAAAATGTACTTGAAGTACATGCAAGCCTGAGAAACTGCCTCTGCCTTGGGTCCCAAATTCCTTTGATTTCTAGACTTATTTCTATTTTCCTGACAATGTTATCTGCCAGTTTTTAAAAAGTAAATGACTTTGCCTTCATCATTTATTCTGCTTCCCTCACTGTCAGGTCAAATTTGGTCTCGTAGTTAGTCCCCAGTGACTCCTCTGTCAACATGAGAGATGAGAGACAGACGGAACAGATGAGTTTAAGGAGTAGGCCAGATCTACAGCATAAGCCTTCCTTGCCCCAGTAATGTGGGAACACTTCCGTGGCTGCTCTGCAGGAATTGAAGGCTCCATGGGTGAGAGGATGCAAGGCCCATGCATGGACAATGGTAACTTTCTGTTCCATCATTTCCTCTAACAGCCCTGTAAAGGTTTTTGGTATAAATGAACACTGGTCCCTTCAGTAGTCACTAACCCTGTACCCCCTATTGCATGGTAATACCTCACTCAGGAGAAATTTTGGGAGAAGAAGCCAGTGGGGAGACAGACACAGGAGGGCTATGAAACATAATGGGTATGGGTGTCCATACAGATAGATGACGGTAGCTTCTGGTCAATCTCCAAAGATACATAGGTTGCAGAATATAAACTCCCTGTCAGATCTGGGTGTGTGGAAACCAGTGTCTCTGCCAAACAAAAATTTAAATGGAAACTCCACCAATCCAGACTCAAGAGACAAGGTCAGTGAGGTAATGTCTTTTATTGGACCAACTTCTGTTGGTAAGAGAAACAAGCTGGTCCAATAAAAGATATTTCCTCGCGCACCTTGTCTCTCTAATATCCTGTGACAGACACAGCTACAACTACACTGCATGCAACCAAGACTTGGGCAGTTTCCAGTCCCTATCACAGGAATAACTTAAGCAGAGGGCAGTTTAACTCTTAGATTTTGTAGAATAATAAACTTTTACAAAACATGAGACTGACAGAAATATTTTCATAATTTTTTCTAATTATAATGGAAAACTTCTTTTTTAAAACAAACATTCTTCTGCAGCACTTGAAACCCAAACTCTGTAACACTGTGCTAGTGAATAAGAACAAGAAAAAGGAATTGACTCAAAAGCGATCACTGTCCATGCTGAGAGAAATATTAAAAGTAAACAAAGAGCAATCATAGTGAAAAGGAAATGTTTTCATTTTTAGTTACGTACAGTGCGGTATGTAACACAGAAAGGGAATTTGTTTACTTTTAAATACATGACATCTCACTCTGGTCCTTTTTACAGAAATAAGGCAATTTCCAAGCCAAGTAATTATATTTTGACTCCTTGTGGGTACGATTGGATACTTTTATTATTCACTTCATCCCCCAGTAGTGTGGATAATGATGCTAGGGTGCAGAATAGTTGCCGTCTTTCCACCTGAAAGTGACTGCACTTGAGAGCTTCCCTGTTTCCATATACTGTATTATACAACAGTGTTTTGGACTGCTCCTGTAGAAATCTGTAGCACTGGTTCCTGACTGGGAATTTTCATGGAGTAAGGAGTGTAGTAAGCTGCATACAGTTTGTTATAACTCTTTGTCATATAAGGTTATTTTCTTCTGAGTTTTAATGTACCTCCTTTCTCCAGTTTTTATCAGTTTGTTTTCAGAATCCCTTTAATTGAACTGGTCATCTGTCATTCAGATGTATGCTTGTTATTACACAGGTAAAAATGGTTCTGAAAAAATATCCCTTTAAGAAAATAGCTGCTTTCCTGTTAATATGCAAACCACAAGGGGGCGCAAACACCTAAAATATTCAGGGTTGAAAAGAGTTTATATTTCAAAATGACCACCCATAACAGATTAGTGGATTAATATTTTGCTCTAAAGAACCTGGCCTTTACTGATGACATCAATTTATATCCAGCCCAGGCTTTTACAGTTGTAAAAGTCATGGAGACTATAAACTTCACAATAGATGTCAGCCTGTTCTTGGTGTGCTCTGTAGAGCACTCCATAAACAGCCGTGATGAGGTAACTGTTCTTGCAAGACCCAGCTAAGGCTGTAATGGCTTTATCAGCACCAGCAAAGTGGCCGTGCCTATATTTTTCCAACCATAAGACCCTGAAATTATTTTATTAATCAGGATCTATTTTTCTGACAAGTGTGTTTGGTGTTATGTGAAAGCTTATCCTTGATCTCCCCTGCAACTAAAGCAGTGCGTCTATTTATGGACATGGCTTAAAGAACAGTAGATCTCATGTACCATATTAGAACTTTTTGAAAAACAGCCAAAGTACAGAGGTCAGGTTTCCTGTACTATAAGCAAATTAACAGGATGCAAGACCACAAGGTTTATGAATATCTGGTAAACTAGGTCACTGTACATATTTCACTAATCATTTTGCTCAAACTACAAATTATATAAACAGATCTATAAACACTACAGAAAGCCAGCTAGGACCAACTCAAGGCCTTCTACTGCTCCACATCAAATCAGTGAGAATTTTACCATTGACTTCACTTCAGAGAGAGTAGGGTCAGGCTCTAACTGTTGTTTGGTAGACAATGCTATGAAAAAGAAAATGTAGTTTGAAATGTAGCAAAAGAAATATAGTTACGACCTCCACTGTGATCTGACTCTTTGTTAGCAATTAAGTGACAATGTAGGTGATATGATTATAAATGTTCTGCAAATTTATCTGTGGTATAATCTCAAAAGTCGACACAAATTCTTTGCACTATTTCTCTCTGGAAAAAACCAGTGCTTTTTGCAGTTCAGTCTGATCTGACATTGTCTGGAGGAACTGGAGCACAGGAGTTATGCAATAAGGTGTATGCAAATAGATTTTTCCTGTGTGCCTATAAAACTACCTATTTATGGAAAAGCTTATATGGGAGGATTTATCACTGCACACAGACTAAGTAGTAATGCTTCCACTAAGAAGAATGCATGTTTTCATCAACTTTATAAATCAAGAATCTGTAGCAGTAAACAGAAAACATAAAGGAGTAGTCTTAGGAGTCTACTGAAGAGGACTTAAATAGCAGTAAGTATCATATTCAGATAGTTTGTTTTATACCAGAAAAAAAAAAAACCATAAAGGAGGCTGTCAAAGCAATGTGTAGGACAAACAGCCTCAAAAATGGAAAAAGATTTATTTAGTGCCAAATTAGGCAGCAGGTATTAAGACTATATCTGCATTCTTCAAACACAAAGTTGTAGGACATTTGATAAGATATGGTTCAATGGCATTTGGTATTAAATTTAGCGTCACACAAAATTAGTGATCATGGTCTGAAACATACTGTCGTCTCTTCAGAGGCAGGTCGAAGGAAAGAATGAATGTTTCCTACCCGGAAATACTGGGGAGTAAAAGATCATTATACTACTGCCCCCGCAAACCTGCACACCTGCTTGTCTCTAGTGTTATCTGTTGGTGTACTTTATGAACATTAGCCATTTTGAATAGGAGTATGGTTTGTCACATAGTAACTCTAGTTACAAACTTGTTTGTGTGTAAAAAGGGTAAAGCTAAAGTATCACTTTTACCATCAGTTGTTTGGCAATACTAACCAGCTTAATTTCCCAGCTGGATTCATAACACTGTAACTTACAAACACAAATACTCTACCTGGGGTTATTGTCCTCTGTTTATACACACCCATGTTCAAAAATTCAACTACATAATCGTTTTGTTCTTTCCCTCACACTTGAACTGACAACACTGAAAAAATAATTTAAAAAGAATTAGAAAGAGGATGGTGTCAGATCAGTGTCAAGCTTGGGAAGCATAGCTAAATGAGATTATAAGTATTAGGGATATGATCTTGCTGACCTTACTGAAGTAAGGATTTACATGGAAGGGATTTTGTTGGGTTTTTTTTTGGGGGGAGGGAAGGGGAGCAAAGAGGACAACAAGATTTGGCCCTTAAAAAGAACAAAATGTATATATTGCCTTATAATGAAAGGAGGTTCCCCCAAATACTGGAAAGAAATGGGTATAAATTCATTTAATTGGGAATTAGTTGGCAACCATGTCTGGGGGGGGCGGGGAAAAATGGATTAGGGTTGTCCCACAGTAGAAAACTTATAACTGCTAGGTATTTCCTTTTCCTAAATAAGAAAAATAGTAGATTTCAATGTGATGCATGTCTTTTAGTTTCATACAGCATCTATGTAATCCAAATAATCAAAGATGGCATAGAAAAAAAATCCCTACCACCTAATGAGTCCATCTCTTAAATAACTCTTCAACATGACATAGTAAAAATAGTCTAACATGTAAGTGAAAGAGAATTTATAAAATTACAAGTTTAATAGATAAATATAATAAATACTTTATGCATCATAATTCTGGACAACTACATTTAAAGCAACTATGCTGGCAAGTCACACACAGAAAGTTGCTTCTTGGCAACTTTATTTTTGATAAAACCACACTGACAGGCATATTACAATGGTTCTTATTAAGCTTTATGCCATAATTATGTTTAAATCCTGCTCTCCTGAGCTCAATATACATTGGTGCAATGTAATTCTACTTTGGAATGTTTTCCTGCACACCAACACAGTTTTACAGGTAGATGTTCTACTTACCAGGGGCAAGGGGAGTTCTGAAGAAAAAATTTCGTAAATGACTTCTAGAAAAACTAAAGCATTTCTTAACTTTTTATTGACATTGGCAAATTAAAATAGAATAAATTAACAATATTTTCTCAAAAAAAATGTTTTGTACAAAAATACTGTCAAAATTTCCTAAAAAGCTTTCAACACAGTAGTATCTTTTCATGTACTGAATAAACTATATTAGCACAGTGTCAAAAATGCTGAAGACAGAAACAAAATAAAAATCTGTGAAATGTTTGCCACTGACTAGTCAACATTTCATCCACACCATATTATTGTCTATACATATGGGGGAGGGGGACTGGGTAGCAGACTTTAAGTAACATTATTCTTTTCCTGATCTAGGAGGGGTTGGCCCACATCTGTTAAGCTTCCAGTTTAGCATATTTAAAAAAAAAAAGTCTGCACTGCAATGCATAGTTAAAAATGAAGCAAGATGGCAGCATTTGTGCAGTAATATCTGCCCTTCAAAGTTCATGCAACCAACTAATGCAATTTTTTCCCTGTTCACTCAGAATCTGAATGCAGTTCAAGTCATTGGAAATCATTGTTTACAAAATCCACAAGATTAAGCAATTTGCCAAGATTAGTATCTAACAGCTGAGCACTGTAGAAATTACGGACATGTTACTGTGAGGAAATTAAGAGGTGGGGGGAAACCCATAAAAAGCCAGAGTTAGCCAGAAATAATTATTACAGGAAGCGAAGTGAGTGTCAAAGCAAAAAAGAAAGAAAAAGTGGCAGCAATTATTTAAAAACAACCCCAATTTATACAAGCTCATAGTTTACTCTGTTTTCCAGATTCTCAACCTTTCAAGCACTGAAAAGCGAGATACTGTGTCTAAGGGAATGTTTTCATTCACACGGATAGAAAGTCCTTTGTTTGTTTTAAAGAAGTCAGCAGCTCACTCTGCTGGGCTGTTGTTTGCAAACGAAGTCTGTCATGAAATCAAACTCGTTCTGTCCCAACCACAGCTCAGGAAGCTCCTTGATGCGGTCCAAACCCATTTCTATGACTAAGGACATGAGCACCTCCTCATCTATGAAGTCAGTGTCTATGACATTGGGAGGCAGCATTGCTGCAGGGACATGGGGGACTGAAGGAGGCATGCCGCTGCTGCTGCTATGCTTTGGGTTGCAGTCTCTGAAATGCTGGTTTGTTCCGTTCATCGGATGATTTGCAGGGTGCAAGTCTGGCATATAGTGGTTGTGAGGATAAGGATGGTGGCTAAAATACTGGTTGTTTAGCTTCTGCAGCTGCATGCTGGCCGTTAAGGGGCCTCCTTGGCTTGCAACAGGGGGGGCCATGAACTGAGAATTATTAAATCTTGCCGTGGGAGGCATGCTGCTAGGAGGATGCCCCCCATTCACGTTCCCTGGCCCCATTGCATGTCTGATCCCGCCATTTGCGTTCATATTTCCAGCTCCATAATGTATATGCTCGCCCATCAAGGCGCTGAAGGCATGTTGCTGCTGTTGGTGATGGTGATGGGGGCTCGGAAACTGACCCATCCCCATTCGATGTGCAGGGTGGTGATGAAGCCCGCTGGTTCCATCAGGGAATCGCCCATGATTCATGGCCATCATGTGGTCTGCCATTTGCCACCTAGGAAGTTAACACACGGGAAGAGGTATTTCTTAAAATCCACAGACATTACCCACACTCTTTTACACTTACAGGAGTCCCTTAAAAAGCGAGCTCAGTAGCACCCCTCCCTCCGAGAGGGCGTGCAGCAGCGCTCCTCCACACAATACTACTGATTTCTTTGAAAGAAGTCTGCAGTCCCTGCTGCGAATCCAGAGAACTCACCCACCTTCCCATTGCAACTCCTGCACACCTAGCACCTAAAAGTATCGCGTACAACGCCCGCCTCCCAGGCGAGTGAGCCATTCTTTCCATTCCAAGCCATGGAAACCTTTCAAAAGATACCCTGCAAAGAACAGCGAAGGAAACAAGTCCCACCTCCCCGCGTCACCAACTTTTGGAATTAAGTCCACAAGGCTTCCCCCCCCCCCCGCACCCATTATTTTATTTTTATAACACGCATTTTAAGGCGCTTATGGTGCACCGCGGAGAATGAGCCGTATTCTTCCTTGCGCCGCTCACATCCGGGCTGCCGCCGCACACCAAAGTATAAACAAGCAAAACAACAATCAAACCCCCCTCCATTACCCTCACCTCTCTCTCTTTGTGTTGTTGTTGCTCCAAGGGTGTTAAGGAAACCAGGCAGTAAAACTAGCCCAGCATAGAGAGGGCTTTTCTTTTTCTCTTCCCTGTGGTTACTTGAGGATACGAATTACTAATTAGCGTTGGTATGACTGCGGCGGCGGCTACGGACGCAAAAGCTGTTTCTCGCTCCTCTGCGAGGCTCATCGACACTTGCCAACAATGAGCTGTGTTTCCCTTACCCTGCTTCGGCCACAGTTAATATAGGATTTCAGAAGGGAGGAGCAAAAGCCTCACAGGCAACCAGAAGTAAAACCTGGAGCAAGCGAGGGGGGCGGGGGAAGAAAGAAAGGGGGAAAAAAAGCCAGGCGGATCTGGAAGGAATCCAAAGAATCCTGTTCGTTCTGGTTGAGCGACACGTGTGTTTGCTGATCACTTATGCGGTGTCTTCAGATCAGCTAATGCTAGGAGCCATATCCCTGCTACACTCCTCTTATATCTCAAAGCGAGGGAGGGGGAGGGGATTACGAATCTATTGCATAGAACTGGAGGAGAGAAGACTGACAGGGAAAATAGATTCTGTATCATAATGGACACTGTTGCAGCCACTGCTAATAACAACTTAACAGGCTTCGGTTTTGTCAAATAATATGGTACTCAACTTGCACTCCCTCCCAACTCAAATCAAGCAGGCTGTTTTAAACTGCCGTCGATTTGTGGAGCAAGGGTTGTGTGTATGGTATTCCCCCCCCCCCATGCAATTCTGCAACATTGCTTCCGATTACAAGTCTTACACTGAAAGCAACTGAACAGCCTTGCTCGTGCCTTGTTCACAGTTGCTGGGTTTCCTCGATACAGCTCCAGACACGTGAGAATTAATGCTGTTTATGTGAGCGTGTCTACTTTTTTTTTTAGGAAGGGGTAACTCCCTCCCCCACATCCCTCGAGGTATTTCTTCCTCTCCCTCTATTTGGAGGGGGCTGTCGCACGCATAAAGCAGAGGTTGCAGGTGGCAAGGAATAGAACTGGGGATGTTTGTCTTCCATGGCACACAGAGACACAGATCCAATCCGCACTTTCGGGGTTACACTCGGCTGCTCCATGTACGTGTGCTTTTGCTAAGTTTGTGTTTACCTCTCTCGGTAGCTTTGGCATTCACACGGAGGCGACTCTGCTCTGTAAACAAATTCAGCAAGACTCATTCCCGAGATCCACCTTTTTACACATACACGGTTGTTGCTGCTGCTGCCCTTGATCTGGGAGGTGGGGGAGGAAAGAGGTGATTGCAAAGTTGCACAACCTCTCGCCTGACTGGCTTTGTCTGGTGGTGATTTGGGGCTGATTTAGAGGGATCGGGTTTGCAGGAAACGAATATAAGCGCTATTTGATACTGCTTTTTTGCTGGAAAAGAAAAAAGAAAGACATAAACATGGTAACTGCTTTGTAAATACAGTAGTCCTGTAAGCTGAGGCACATCACCATAAACCTGCCCGTCAGCACATCATCTCTAACATTCACCACTCATTTGGTACGGTGGGATGGCATGCAAACAGAACCCCACATTTCAGAAATCCTGGATTTTCAAAATACATCTCTAGGTAAAAATCCACCAAATCTTCCCAGCTGCACTAAATTATCACACAAGAGGGAGAGGGCAAGGGGAGGACAGTTGCAAACACTGCAGTGAAGTTGAATACTGTCCTATTTTAAAGCTTATCTAGTATAAAACTCTTAAGAAGGGACACTATGTCACAGCTCACTGGGAGTGCTGAAGGCTCTGGTTCAGCTCTATGGCAGCTGTGCTTGGAGACAAAGAATGGGACATACCCCTTGTTAGGTTCAAACAGCCATCAGTAGCAAGCAGTAATGCTTCTGTCCCCTCCACTTCCCAGTGCAAGAACAGAAGTGTGCTGCGGGCACACATGCATCTCAAAGAGTAGAACTACAGGGCACTGCTGTGACAGCACAGGGCAGGCTGTAGGGCCCCTACTGGGGAAGGAGAAGTCTGACCCTCTTTTAAAGCAGTTTGACTGGCCAGGGCCTTACTTGTCTACCCTGGCCATAACCTATTTAGAGGTCAGTTAAAGGTGATGCTTTTCTGCCTAAATTGCTCTGGCGGCAATGTTCCCTCTAATTTTTTCCATCCATGTGAGGAATGAATTTTGCTATGTGCACCAATATGGAGGTGATATGTGGTGGCAGTGGGGCTGAGAGGTTCGAAGTGTGGGAGGTGGCTCAGGGCTGGGGCAGACGGTTGAGGTGCTGGGGGTGTGAGGGCTCTGGCTGGGGGTGTGGCCTCTGGGGTGGGGCTGGGGATGAGGGGTTTGGAGTGCAGCCTGTCCTGGGGCTGCAGCAGGGAGAGAGCCCTCTCTTGCTGCAGCACCCCAGGGCCTGGGGGAGAGTGCCTTTCCCTGCTGCAGCAGCTCTGGGGCTGTGGCCTGGAGGAGAGGTGTCTCTCCCCACTGTGTGCCTGCATGGCCCTTGATAGCCTGCTGCACAGGTGCGCAGCTTAGAGGGAACTTAGTCTGGTGGGTAATGTGAACAGTGCTATTGGAACCAACTCGGGTTCAGGATACAGATGCAACTGGAGCAGAAGATGTGCAGAGAGCAGCAGTCCTGCACACAGCGGGTAAGAACCAAGCACAGAGCTGATAAGTGAACAGAAGGAGGGGAGAGGCAGACCACTTAAAAAACAACAACAGTGAAGTGTGACAAGGATGGAGTTCCCTGGGGAAAGGGGTGGCAGGAAGCATTAAAAGATGGGAGCAAGGACATCACCAGAATAGCTTTGCTAAGGAAGTGACCTCATCATCTGGCTTGAATTTCTACAGGAATTGAATGGGGTCTCTACCATGTGATGCAATATCTGGCCTGCTGGAGAGGATAATCAGGTGTTCTCTGGCACATTTGAAGCTCTTGATTTGGGGAATATGATTTAGCCATGGTCTCCAATCTGGGCCATGAGTGATAAAAAGAGGGACAACCACCATCCTGGAGATTTTTCCCTTGATGGTAGTAGTAGTTTTGTGGGCAAAAGAATGAGTATTGAGGACATACTGTTGCTGTTTGACAATTAGGCAGTTGTGGACAATATGAGCAAGCAATTTGCTAAATACAAATCCATGGTGACACTGGTAAGACCATTTGTATTGCAATGCCTTTTCAAAGCTCAACACATATCAGTTAGGATTAACACTGCTTTGGATGCTCTTTCTTATTTTCAGTTTTACAGATTCTGGAAGCTGGCACCAGAAGTAGAGATGCCAAAGCAGATTGTGGAGAACTGGCACATGACAGCAAGAAAGATGAGTAGGCATATCACCCAATATACTATGGGCCTGAGAGGTGTTTTCAGGCATTTACATCTTATATGGTGTTTTCTTCATCAGAGGCTGCAAAGCAACTTAGTTTATGGTTCACCAGAGGGATGCATAGGATTCTACAGCAAATGGGAAAAAAACAGGAAGACAAGGTAGGGGACGGGTAATGGGGAGTACTCGGTACAAAGCATGAATCCATTAGTTTGCCAGTCCCAGTGTGAAGCACAGTTATTTAAGGCAGCATACACATTGGTGTTCTCTAGGGCCTTTTGCATAACTGAGCTGGTGCTGCCATCAGCTAATGAGAAAGTAGGGCACTGCATATGCAGGGAAGGCATGCAATGGGAGTAAAAGTATGGCAGAGAAGTTCAAAAGCTGACCCAGCTACAACAGGCTCTTGGGTATAGTTGGTACCTGTGTTCAGAAGAGGAATGGAGAAATATCTGACAATGTGCTAGCACAGGAGTATGAAGATGGACCCCCCCCCCAACTTGGGAGTTAAGAGTTAGAAGCAGAAAGCCATGCAGGATAGTGGGATCCTGAGTGCTTACTCCTCTCATTTCTTGCACATTAGAGCAACAGCAATAGGCATAGCAGAATGGAAAACCAAAAAGAAGAATCCAAGCAGATGCAATAAATGTTATGCACAGCTGCCTTTCCCAGACCTGCAGAAGAGCTCTGTGTAACTTGCAAGCTTGTCTCTTTAATCAATAGAAATTGGCTGAATAAAATATATTACCTCACCCACCATGCATCTCTAATTTCCTGGGATCAACAACAATGTTCAGCTCTAGACATACAATGATAGGAAGATCGGTATCTCTCTCACTGGGACAGTGAATTTCAGTGGGATTTGGGCATCTGACTCTCTTTGGCTCCTTTGAAAAGCCAAGCTGTACTCATTTGTGACCTTGCCAACGCAAACCATCCTGGAGTGCATTTGTGAGCATTCTATCACACATTGTACAGAGCAATGGACAAAGACTAGTTCAGAAGGACAATAGTTAGGGTTGTCTGAGGAGTCTGCCGCTTTTACTTGGTTTGGTAGAAGGAGAATGTAGTAGACACAGCTGGTGCCAGCACTGCAGAGTTGGTTATAAGCCTCAGCACCAGATTCCCTGATTATCCAGCTGGAAGAAAATGACTTTGGCAAGTTTTCTAGTTTGGATATCGTCAAAGTCAGGAGGATAGAGCTGGAGAAGCTACAGCATGCAATACCAGGCACAAGCCTCATGTAATCACTGTTGTTGTTCCTTCCACTAGACAAGCCAGGAGTTCCCCAGAGCCTACCATATGTCTTCCTATTTAGAGCATCCTCTCACCACAGTGAAGCTAGCTACTTAGTGAGTCTATCTATAAACCCTGGCACATAACCAGCCAACCCTGGTGTGGGAGAGCTCCCCCAGTGGGAATCCCCTGCAGTAGTGGCATGATGCTAAAAGATTGATAGACTGATGACAAGCATCTGCAAGATGCAGAATCTGTAGTGAATAAGCTACAGTCAATTAGTATGGGAGAAAGGAAAGCTAGAGAAAGAGTTATCTGCACAGGTCAGATTTTTTTCTTTGCTGGGCTTCATAGGGTAGTTAATGCCTTCTGGTGAGAGATGGTCATGAGGCCAGAGTAAAGTGACAGTGGGGAGCTAACAACACACTGCCACTAGTGAGCGGTCCCCCCCATACCTAAATTACCCAGTTACATGCCAGGAACCATAGGTTTGTTCAGTGAAGAGATGTTCTAAGCTGAGGGACATGTGCCAGGAGAATGATAAATTGAGCTAGTCTCACCAGCACTTCCCCACATGCCTTCTTTCTATTTGTCTAGATGGCTCAAGTTAGTTTATATATATATATATATATATATATATAGTGGCTGTATCCTTTGCACCATAAACCTGTGTTGTCTCTTCACTCTAAGAGAATCCAGGGATAATGGGTGGTTGCCAGGATCCATTTTTTTTGTACTGTGTCCCCTTCCCCGTACACTTACTTCATAGCTGA